GGAAGACCCCCGTGGAGAAAGGAAAGGCTTACCCACTCCAGTTTTCTGGCCTGGAGAATTCCATGGACTGTGTAGTCCATGAATCACAAAGAGCTGGACACGACTGAGAGACTTTCAATTTATTTCACTTTCTGAAAGTCACAGAATTCCAGGGGTAAACACTGTCTGATGTCTTCTCCCCTCAGGTGGAACTGGGCTCAAGGACCAATTAGCTCAATGCTAATCTGTACTCCAGCTGGAATGGAGGGGCCAAGCTTTAGGACTCACTTTTCATTTCACCTCTGTTTTAGAATGGCAAGGAGGACCTTTGTGAAGTCTTTGTTTTGGTTCAGAATTAAAACTTAACCTCAAACCTTTCCAAGAAATATATGTATTTCTTTTTTCTAAGTATTTCCCAGAGGACAGGGCTCCATGGGATTTCTGGATATGGCTATGTCTTCCAAATATCTAATATGGTTTTCTTCCAAATATTAAGGTAAATATCTCTTGTTTTATTTTAATATTTATTCATTTAGGCATGCGGGATTTTTATTTATTTATTTGGCTGCACTGGGTCTTCGTTGCTGTGCCAGGCTTTCTCTAGTTATGGCGAGTGGGGGCTACTTTTCATTGCAGTGCACAGGTTTCACATTATAGTGGCTTCTCTTGTTCTGGAGCACAGGATCTAGGCATACAGGCTTCAGTAGTTGGAGCTTGAGGGCCCAAGAGCGCTGGCTTGGTAGTTGTGGAGCACAGGCTTAGTTGCTCCATGTCATGTGGAATCTTCCCAGACCAGGGATTGAACCCATGCCCCTGCATAGGCAGGCGGATTCTCATCCACTGAACCACCAGGGAGGTTCCTCTTTGTTTTATGCTTCAATCTGTTCCCTTTGAGCTATTTTACTGTTGATAAATCATACTTCATCCAACGTTCCTTCCTGGAAACAAGTTTTTGAAAATTCGATATTCTCCTCTCCACAGATTCAAACTTCATCTCTGAAAGGAAGAAAGGATGGAAAGTTAATTTTTTTTAAGGTTATAACTATCCATAGGGGTGTGGCACCATGGTTAGATGCCCAGAGTGTAAGGTTAGTCAGTCAGACTTTACCACTGGGTGATCCTGGACAGTCAATTAGTTTTTCTAAGCCTCAGTTTCCTTATCTATGAAATGAATCTAAAAGTAGTACCTTCCTTACAGGGGTGATGTTGGGAGGATGAAATGAGATAACCTACACAAAGCATCTAGTCAGGGCTTGGTACCTAGCAAAGGCTCAGTAAATAGTAGTCTGTCATTATTATTAGCTATTATTTGCTCTGTATCTGTACAGCTCCCAGGACTGTACCACCAGCAGGGAGGCATCACTGTAGGCAAAGGCCAGCTAAGAGAATTAGGGACTCGGACTGTAGTTCCTGGCTCAGATGCTAATTTATATAATATTTGTTACATATTCAGGAATACATTTTTTGGTAAGTTATGAAAAATAATGATGAAACAATAACCCATGGAGTTACCATTCAACTTGTATAAACTACTACCATGGGTTAAAGCTACTTTTGAGTTCCTCCCCTAGCCCACCTCATTGCCTTTCCTTAGATGTGCTCCTGCTCAGTCACTTCAGTCATGTCCGACTCTCTGCAACCCCATGGACCACAGCCCGCCAGGCTCCTCTGTCCATGGGATTCTCCAGGCAAGAATGCTGGAGTGGGTTGCCATTTCCATCTCCTGTGATAAAGTATGAAGTGAGTGAAGTGAAGTCACTCAGTCATGTCGGATTCTTTGCAACCCCATGGACTGTAGCCGACCAGGCTCCTCCGTCCATGGGATTTTCCAGGCAAGAGTACTGGAGTGGGTTGCCATTTCCTTCTCCATCTTAGATGTGACCATTTATTAGTAGAAATAAAGCTGAGCACTGAAGAATTGATACTTTTGAACTGTGGTGTTGGAGAGACTCTTGAGAGTCCCTTGGACTGCAAGGAGATCCAACCAGTCTATCCTAAAGGAGATCAGTCCTGAATATTCACTGGAAGGACTGATGGTGAAGCTGAAACTCGAATAATTTGGCCACCTGATGTGAAGAACTGACTCACTGGAAAAGACCCTGATGCAGGGAAAGATTGAAGGCTGGAGGAGTAGGGGACAACAGAGGATGAGATGGTTGGATGGCATCACTGACGCAATGGACATGAATTTGAGTAGGCTCTGGGAGTTGGTAATGGATGGGGAAGCCTGGTGTGTTGTGTTTATCATTTCATTCCTTTTAAAAGGAACACCTATGTATGTATAATCCCCCAAATGATATATCATTTAATTTTGCTGGGTTTTGAGCTTTATAAAGTGATGTTATACTGTATGAGCATTTCTGCCTTTCTCCCACAATTCTAAGACTAATTTATTCCTGTATTTGCATATAGCTGTATTCATGTTCACTGCTGTATAATAATCTGTTACACTCCAACTCATCCCTTCTCTTGTTGGCAGACATTTGTTCTGTTTTGTTGCTATAAATAGTGCTGCCATGAACATTCTCATACAAGTTTCCTGGTGTGTGTGTGTAAGAGTTCTCTAGTGTATATATGAAGAGTGGAGTTGCTGAATCACAGAATAATTTTCAGGACAATTTCTAGAGGTCTGCAGAGAACACAGGTTCCATCCCTGGTGGGGAAACTAAGATACCACATGCCACGTGCCCCCCAAAATTATAAAGCCCTGATAATAAAGGATTTTGATTATGACACCTCTCTGAGTTCAAGACCCCTTCCTTTACACACAAACACATATTTTGAGATACAACTGGCTCAAGGAAAGAAAAAAAAATGTCTTGAAGAGATATTAAATGTCTTGAGAATGAACCAAGACTTGGATGCTAGGCTTACTAAAGTAAGAAGATGGATAAGACAGAGCCCTCAAAGATAGAAGACTCTAGCTGAAACTGGAAGCATGCTGTCAACCTCATCTCAACCTCTTTTATATCTTTCCTTTTTTAAATTCAATAAGCATTAAAAAAAAAGCCCTATTGAATATAGGAAATATACTAGGAGATATTTAGAACACAAACCTGAAAAATATATATTCTCTTTTCTTTAGGTCATACTAGTGATAAAGTGTCTTCCCTAGTGGCTCAGATGGTAAAGCATCTGCCTACAATGCGGGAGACCTGGGTTTGATCCCTGGGTCGGGAAGATTCTCTGGAGAAGGAAATGGCAACCCACTCCAGTACTCTTGCCTGGAAAATCCCATGGACAGAGGAGCCCGGTAGGCTACAGTCCATGGGGTCGCAGAGTCGGACACGACTGAGCGACTTCACTTCACTTCACTAGTGATAAAGGCATCTATCTACTTGTATCTATCTATCGCAAGACACTGTACAAATTAAATACTTGAATACAGTAATGAACCAACACTTTCATACAGGCAATGTCTTGTAGTGAAAATTATAACTTTATAATAAAATTATCACATAATTTTACAATCCACTCTGAGATTGGCACCCCAATTTAGTTCTGGCGAATTTAAGGCTTCAGCCTCCTCTCCTTATTGGAAAAATGAAGGTCATTAATACTTACATTTAGAATTGTAAATTAATTACAATTGCTTTCAGGATTATTGATAATGTAAAAAAGTTCCTTGTATATAGTTGATGCTCAAGAAACAATGGACATTATTATTTAAACCTCAAAGGAGGAAGATGGAGCACGTGGAAGAAGGTGGAGCAAGTATGGTTTTATCCCCATTTTTCAAACATAAAAAAGCTATATCTAGGTAAGATCAAACGACTGACTATTCTGGTCACCAAGCCAGACGCCAGCACAAATCCTCATTTTCAGATCACCACCTTTTAAAAACCACAATACTTTCACCCATCATGCTTTCCTGTTGAAAGGCATTAAAGGAGAATTCGGAAGATAAAAAGACTATCCAGGTAAGTGTAACTTAAGTAGGTTCTTGACCCCAGGAGAGGTGAGTTTAAGGAGAGAGTATTTAGAAGCATACAAGCACTTGTTAGGAGTGTTTGGGTAACAAACAAGAGTCAGCCAGGGGTGGGTGTAGGTCCAATAAGACTAGAGTCAGAGCTCCACCCAGGCCTTATGGTTTTGACTAGCTACTTAGCGGACGCCAGAAGCCCGGGAACAACTAGGAAAGACGTTTAACCCCGACCACCTGACGCACGCCCAGTCCTCTCCCAGATCGCCCAGTCCATCTCAGGAGGCGGAGAGCCGTGGCGTCGCTAGCCTATCATCATTGCCAAGGTCAGCGGAGTCGATTCTTAATTGGCTAATGTTAGGATGACGTCACACTCGCCGCTCCGGCGAAGGAAGAGGACGCCATGATTGGTTGGCGCTGGGACGGCGGGCGGTGGAGGAGCCTGGCTAGTCTGGGTTTCAAACCGGTGCTGGGCTTTCTCCATCCATGTTTTGAGGCCGTGGGGGGCAGCGGAGGGCGGGGAGTCGGCTCAGTGGAAACCTGGATTTGGTTCTAAGAGCCGTGGAATTGAGAAGAATTGACCGGAAGTGTCTTGGGACTGACCGGAAGCGAGGCCTGGAGGGGAAAGGGAGAGTGGTTCCCGGGAGGGAGGGGATTTCCAGCGGAAAGGGGCGGGGGAAAGGTGCGAAAGCGGCGTGGGAGTGCCGGCTAGGCAGCGGGTCGCTGCTGCGGGTCTGTTTGCAAAATAGTGAGTGACCACAGCGAGCTCAAGGGGAGATCCCAAAGAGAGGGCGAGGAGTCCAGGGTTGCCTCTGGACAGTCTGGAAGAGTTAAGCCAAAGGGCCCTCGCGCGGCTCCAGAGACCTGGGTGCGGGGGAGGGATTTTGGAAGTCGGGATAGCCGAGAGTGAGGAGCCAAGGGTACGGGAGATTAGTTGTGTGGGAAGTGTGGGTGGGGCTTGGGGGTGGCTTGGTGGGTGCTGCGTGGGAGATCTTGGTTTGGAGTTTTCTACAGTCTTGCAGTCTTGCCCCGGTTGGGTAGAATCACGCTACTCGCCTTTGTACAAGAAACTGTCTCCTGGGGCAAGGAAGGAGCCAGAATGGCCTGGGCTCTGAAGCTGCCTCTGGCCGATGAGGTGATTGAATCCGGGCTGGTGCAGGACTTTGATGCTAGTCTATCCGGGATCGGCCAGGAACTGGGTGCTGGTGCCTATAGCATGAGGTGAGTGAGATTTTCCCAGACCCTGCACCTTCTGAGTAACAAAGGCAGGAAAGAGAATAACGGGGGAGGAAAAGAGGTGTGTTGAGTTAGAGAAGCTCTCCGCGGTTAGAGAAAAGGAACTTGTTTCTTTTTTGAGTGGTGAGTATTGTGGTAGAAATGGAAAAAGATTATGGACAGTATCAAGAAGAATGGCTCTTGATTAGCAACCAAGTGAATGTTGAGAGGCTGTTGTGCCAGTGTGGGTGATTTGGAGACTGTTGGTGTGTGTGTACGTATGTGTGGGTAGGTTGCACTGGACTTGTGTAAGAGGCCACATTGAACATGTGAGATGTTTAGGGAGTTGGGACTTAATGATAAATATTGGTTGATTGCTTTGGGGGAAGAAATGTGAGGTCCTAAATCCACACATCTATATCTTAACCAGCTTTCAGGCTTTACTCAATTCTGGGGTTTCTGACTTTTGAAACACAAGCCGTGAAATGAAAAAGTGTCAACAAGAACTTTTAGATGCTTCTAGACCTTCATGTATCAAGCCAAATATTGATAATAAATAAAAATCTCCTGTGAAAGCAACATAACCTGCCATGTAATTTATTTGCATGCCTTAGCTACTTCATTCCCCCAATATAGTTTGTTTCATTTAAAAGATGTGCAAGAGCCATGTCTGGAAATGTTGAAACATCTGCTTCTTAATGTTTGATGGAATATTACTGGGTTTCCAAATGCATAATAAGGTTTAATCTCAGTAAGTGAGTCAAAGAGACTTTAGAATTTAGCATTTTTAATTAGGTTTATGAGTTTATAATGGGATTTTGCCTTTTATGGTGAAAGTGGGCAAATTTTGTATTCTGTTAGTGAGTGTCTTTGAGAGTTATAAAAGTGAACTTCCTTTCTTTAACCCTGCTAAGCCAAAGTGAACTTTCCTCACTGAAGTAAAATTATTAGTTAGAATTTAATACTTCATTTTCAGGAATCTTTGCTTATAGTTAGAATAGTAAAGGCCATCCTTTAATACATATTTTAGTAATTTTCAGGGAAATTTGAGTTCTATCATGCAGTGCTCTTAGCCTTGAGAAATTTAACTTTAATTTTGTCAGTTCTTTTTTAAATAAGTCTTACCGTTAAAATAGAGATTAACCTGGTCTGCAAGTAAATGTCCTGACCCTGAGCTTGTGCGTCAGTACTGACATAATATTTGACAATTTATGGTGGTGTTCATATAAAGATTACTACCACAGAAAGTTAAGTTGTGTCTAGGTTATCACAGTTATGGATGGAGATAATTGAATATAGCTGTACTTGGTATAAAAATAGTTTAACATCATTAGCAAACATTTGGGTGTCAACTGTGTGCTCTCTCTACCATGTGACCTTACCTTACATTTATGAATGCTTTCCTATTCATATCCTGAGTGGTCCTCACATGTATTAGTAGAATGCCTCGTATATTTACATGTTTGGAATTTTTTTCCAACATTAAATCCACAATAGTTTTCAAACCACTTTGTTTTTTCTCAGTAGCATAATGCGTAAACATTTTTTTTCAAGTATTTTTTTCTTTGTCCTCTTTCACCTTCCTCCTTTTCATGCACTTTGCTATTGTCATGATTCTCTTATCTCTTACACACATTTAATCATTTGCATTAATTTGGGTTAAATAGATATTAGTTCTCAAACTGTAGTATTTATGAGAGTCATCTGGAAACATGAAAAATAGTTTCCAACATCCCATCTTTGGTGATTGACTGGGGCACAGACTAAAAAGCTGATTTTTTAAAAAACAAGTTCTTCGTTGATTTTGTTGCAAATAGTCTATGGACCACATTTTGAGAAACACTGATTGGAGGAGATTTTATACTCAAAGACAATGATTCTTTGCTCTCCCTTTTTCTTCTTTTAACTAAACCTGTGATTGCTTTTCCTAAACCTTTGTTAGGGAAATGTTCTCTCTCACAGCAATTTTTAAAACAATTTTTATGTGTTTGTTTATTTTGGCCGCTCTGGGTCTTTGTTGCCGTGTGAGGGCTTTTTGTATTATAGTTGGGGTGAGCGGGGCCTACTCTCTAGTAGCAGTGCGCTGGCATCTGTTGACGGTGGCTTCTCTTGATGCAGAACTTGGGCCTAGGGCATTGCAGGCCTCAGTAGTTTAGAGGGCAGGCCCAGTAGCTGTGGCCCACGGTCCCGGCTACCCCAGGGCATGTGGGATTCTCCTGGAACAGGAATCGAATCTGTGTCCCCTGCAGTGCCGGGTGGCCTGCCAACCACTGGACTGCCAGGGAAGTCCCAACAGCAGTTTGTTTTGTAAAATATTTTCCTAATGTATTTGTTTTACCCTGATTTGCTTATTTCTACTGCATCTTAAAATGGTTTCATTTATACATCTGTTGGTTTATATTTTATAAATGATTTACCTTAGTTGGATGTTTTGTCTCTTCATCTGCCATTGCATTCATTAACTGTATTATTTTCATAAGTGGTCCTTTAATAGTGTCTATATTTTTTCCTTACGTCTCAATACATGGTACACACTTTATAATTAAAATAAAATTCCCTGAAAACATGCTGAATAAAAGAAGCCAGTCACAAAAAAAAAAAAAAAAAGAAGCCAGTCACAAAAGACTACATATGATTCTATTTCTTACGAATGTCTAGAATTGGCAAATCTATAGGGACAGAAAGTAGATTAATGGTTGACTAGATAGTGAAGGACAGGGAAGCCTGGTGTCCAGGGGGTCACACTGAATAATATGTCTTTGTATCAGTTTACTTATCCATTCACCTACTGAAGGACATCTTGGTTGCTTCCAAGCTTAGGCATTATAAATAAAGCTGTTATAAACATCTGTGTGCAGATGGTTTTCATCTTCTTTGGGCAGATACCAAGGAGTGCCATTGCTGGGTCATATGGTATGAGTATGTTTAGTTTCCTAAAAAGCTGCCAAACTGTCCTCCATAGTGGCTGTACCATTTTGATTCCTGTCAGAAATGAGAGAGTTCTGGTGTTACTCCACATCTTGTCAGAATTTGGTGGTGTCATTGTTCTGGATTTTGGCCATCCTAAAAGGTGTATAGTGTATACTTTTTCAAGATCTGCCAAGGTGTTTTACACAACAGCTGAACCATTTTACATTCTCACCAACAATGTACAAGGGGTCATATTTCTCTGCATCCTCATCAATACCTGTTTTTTGTGTTTTAAAGTCATCCCAGTGAGTGTGAACTAGGATCTGATATTATTTGTTCTACGTTCCCTTGATGACCATGATGCTGAACACTTTTCATGCGTTTGTTGGCCATTCATGTATCTTCTTTGGAAAAGGGTCTATTTGAGTCCTTTGTGAAAGTGAAAGTCACTCAGTCGTGTCTGACTCTTTGCAGCCCTATGCCTCTATACAGTCTATGGAATTCTCCAGGCTAGAATACTGGAGTGGGTAGCCTTTCCCTTCTGCAGAGGATCGTCTCAACCCAGGGATCAAATCCAGGTCTCCCACATTGCAGGCGGATTCTTACCAGCTGAGCCACAAGGGAATCCCATTTGAGTCCTTTACCCAGTTTTAAACTGGGTTGTTTTCACATTGTTGAGTTGAAGAGTTCTTTATGTATTCTGGTTACTAGATCATTCGGCTTCCCAGGTGGCTCAGTAGTAAGGAATCCACCTCCTATTGCAGGAGATGTGGATTCGATCCCTGGGTGGGGAAGATGCCCCAGAGAAGGAAATGGCAACCCACTCCAGTATTCTTGTCTGGAAAATCCCATGTGCAGAAGAACCTGGCAGGCTACCATCGATGGGGCCACAGGAGAGTCAGGCATGACTTAGGGACTAAACAGCAGCAACAGCAAGATCATTATTAAATAATGTGGTTTGTAGATACTTTCTCCAGTTCTGCATGTTGTCTTTCACATTCTTGATAATGTCCTTTGATTCACAAAAGTGTGTAATTTTTTAAAAAATATTTATTTGTTATTTTATTTGGCTGTGCTGGGTCTTACTTGCAGTATGCAAGCTCTTAGTTTTAGGAAGTGGGATCTAGTTCCCTGACCAGGGATTGAACCTGGACCCCTGCATTGGGGATCCAGATTCTTAGTCATTGGACCACCAGGGAAGTCCCCAACAGTGTTTAATTTTTATGAAGTCCAATTTATTCTTTTTGTTGCTTTGTGCTTTTGATGTCAGCTCTTAAGAATCTGTTGCTAAATTCAAGTTGTGGCCATTTACCCTGTGGTTTCTTCTAAGAGTTTATAGTTTAAGCTCTTATGTTTAGGTTGTTGATCTATTTTGAGTTAATCTTTTAATTTACAGTGAGATAGGGGTCCAGCTTCATTTGTTTGTATTTAGATAGCCAGTTGTCCCAGCTATTTGTTCGTTTCCATTGAGTGTTCTTTGTAGTCCCATTGAAAATCAAGTGGCCATACTTGTAAGGATTTGTGGACTCGATTCTGTTCCATTGGTTGACATATCTTTTTGCCAGTACCACACTATTTTGATTACTGTAGCTTTGTAAAAAAGCTCTGAGATTGGGAAATGTGATTCCTCTTACTTTGTTTTTCTTTTCCATTATTGTTTTTTGCTATTCAGGGCCCCTTGTAGTTCCATACAAATTTGAAGGTAAGCCTTTCTGTTTCTGCAAAACAGGCCATTGGAATTTTGATAGGGATTTCATTAAATCTGTAGATAACTTTGGGAGTATTGCCATGTTAATAATACCAAGTGTATCAGTTCAGGAACATGGGGTGTCTTTCCATTTATTTGGGTCATCTTTCATTTCCTTAAGTAGTATTTTGTAGTTTTCAGTGTACAAGTATTTCACATGCTTGGTTAAATTTATTCCCACAGATTTTATTCTTTTAGAGGTTGTTATGTGCTCAGTTGCTCAGCTGTGTGTGATTCTCTGGGGCCTATGGACTGTAGCCCACCAGACCTCTCTGTCCATGGAATTTTCCAGGCAAGAACACTGGAGCATTTCCTACTCCAGGGGATCTTCCTGACTCAGGGACTCGAA